GCACAGGCTGTGCTTTACTTTTCTTGTTTTCATGTGCTCCTGCTGCCTCCCATCCCTGGAGCTTTGCATTTCTCTCCTGGCTAAAGCGGAGTCGATCGCTGCATTAACAGCCGTGCCACTCTCCTGCGGCAGGCTCTGACAGCAAACCCCAGCAGGCTCCTAGAGGGCAGAGGAAAACAAAGCTATATGGAATTTGATTAAGGAGCCAGAATAACCTTTAACGGAGACACCTGGGACAGGGAAGCAGACAGCTCTCCAGCTGAAAGCCCAGGCAGCTTTCTTCCTAGCCCAGGGGACAGGGCTCCTCGCCCAGTCACACTGCTCTGCTGGAGCTGGCACTCAGAGGGGTGGCCACAGCCTTCTGCTTGTGAGGGGTGACTGCTGAGCTGCCGGTGAAGAAGGAGAAAGGACTACATCTCTCGGGGATTGTTCACGTCATTTAAGCTGGGCTTCCATACAGCACAGCTTGGAGAACCCCCTTCTCTCTGCACTGAGCTCATCAACTTGGATTCCAAGCAGAGACCAAATGCCCTTCTGGAAGGCATTCCCTTCTCTTTCTTTCTCTTCTCTTTGTAGAACCCAGCAGTGGTTTATACCTTTCCTTGCTAAACTGAAAACCTTAATGTTCTTTTCAGAGAGGCTCCTTGTTCTCGAACAGCTGGCTAAGCTGGGATGTGAGTATTTTCAGATCAGAGGGAGCAGCCTGGATCTGGAGAGGGCTGGTGTCTGTTGACCCTAAGGAGAGCCATGCACTGGCTCACAGGGACTACTGGCATTCCTAAATGTGTGTTTCCATGTGGTCTGGTGGGACTGAAGCTCCTTGGCACCTTTCACACGGGACAGTTACTTTCAGATCTCCCTGAGACAACCCAGAGAAGAAACTTGGCAGTTTCCCCACAGCTTCACCTCACCCTTAGAGGGAAGTGATTTGCAAGATGAGCAGAGAGGAGCACAGCTCCCTTCCAAGGAGCTTTTGCTCTAAAGATACAGAGCTCAGCAGCCCCTCGAGGCTCCTCGCAGACACTGAGCTGTGGTGAGGAGCATGCTGGATGGCTGGAGTCGTTGGCAGACCAGTGCTCCATGATAATGGAGACATTAAATCAGTCATTGCAGCAAGAACTGCATAATAGATGCAAAATACAGCAGAAGCGTGATTCAATTTTGGCTCTGCCTTATTAAGTGCAAAAGTATTTTAGGAGATGATGGAAAAATACTAGGAAGTTCAGAGTGCATCCTCCCTGCAGCATGGCACGAGGGGCAGCTGTCTGCAGTGTATCTGTAGGTACACGTCTTCTGTGAATGTATTCCCCTGCTGCCTTCACCGCTCAGCGATCACACGCTGGAAGTCAGGTATTGGGGTCAGCCGAGGCCAGCAAGGACAGAGCCAGAAGCACCTGGAATGGCCCTCCTGGCTGAACGGCAGCTGCTTGGCCTCCTCTAGGACAGGAAGATGATGCTGTCCAACACAACTGCTGCATCTTCAGCACAGTTATGCTGGGAAAGTTCTCGTCAACCAGTTTCCAGACAGCTCGTCAGTAAACACCCAGGAGATGATGGACAGAGCAGGTCCAGCCAAGGTCTGGCATGGGAGAAAGTGAAACACTGCCTGTCCAGAAATGCTGCATATGCTAATTTTTCTGACTAGAGTTGGCATTAATTAGAGGAAAAAAAATGTATTACTGGAGGTAGAACTTCTCCTGCTCAAGGGGCATCTGCTATTTGACAAGCAGCCTCAGAACAGCCGCTAGCACTCTGGGTACTGCTCAGGACTTGCAGATGCAGCGTGTTGGTTTATTGTCACAATAACGGCAGAAGCTATCAAGACTCTAAACCCTGTCAGCAGGTAGGAAAGAGCTTGCAGGAAGGGGAGGGGGCTTCTCTCCCACTTTTTCCCAGATCGCACACCCTCAGGTGGTGGCTGGTTATCTGCAGGTCCTGCTCGTGCACCCCAAGCGGGCACGGATGCATTGTTTGTGTGTGTGTACACACGCTCTGTGCTGGGCTGAGGTTAAACAGCTTTTTGGGAGATGCAGCAAGCTAGCCCGTTCTCCCAGGAGCACGCACACAGCGTGTTTGAATTAAACTGGATCAGGATCTGGCCCATTGTGCTCTTTTCAAATCAAGATGCTCTTCCAAGCCAGTCTCACCCAGCATTTGCCAACAACCACAATCCCGAGGGAGGAATGACCAGTGGAAGGGACACTGCTGGCTTCACAAAGCCCCAGCTACTTTGCAAGGAGCACCCCCTTCATCTTCCACCCGAGCCAAGGCACAGGCTGCTGCGGGCAAACCTCACCACCCCAAGACTCTTGCTTTTGCCCCAGGCTGTCGGAGGCGCCGTGCAATGTTCACATCACAGCAGCGAGAAGCCAAGTGCTCGAGCTTGGCTAAACCCGGGGTTGTCAGGGGAGCAACTCCTCCTTTCATGAGCATGGCTCGGCTTGCTGATCTCGAGCCCTGCAGTAAAATCCTCGCTCTGTTCCGCTGGAACATGCCCCCCGGCAAGGCAGCCCCTGCTCAGAGCAGCATCTGTGTTCATCCCTGTCTGCACCTCTGTCCTGACCCGACACCTGATGCTGTCAACAGCCAAAGCTTGCTCCAGGGAACCCGAAAAGCTCAATGCCCGTGAGAGGAGGAACATGCCTTCAGACAGGCATTAACACTCCGCTGAGCGCCTGATGCCAACATTAGCGAGGGCGCAGCTGCAAGAATTCATCGCTCTGCTGGATGCTGGCAGCACAGCGAGGTGGGAGGGCACAGCTGCCTTTGTAGGGAGGATTCAGGAGGAGGCAGAGCGAGCAAAGTGACAAACAAGCGGCTCCAGCGATGGCATCTCTCTGTTGTCACGGGTCCACGCCCTGTGCCAAGCGAGATGGGACCAGAGCACAGGAGGTAGGAGGAAGCTGCAGGACAAAACTGAAGGGTGACGATCAACAGCTCTGTCCAGCAGCAGGGCAAGGAGCTGGGAATACCAGCCGTCCGCTCCATCCCTGTGTATTCTCTCATGGTTTGCAGTGACACGCTTGGCCCCATATTGAACTCTGTGTGGGTCACTACAGGCACAGCAGAGGCTTCACAAGGGTGGAAGCATTTAGGAAGCATTTTGTATTTCTCCTATACAACACAAAGCCTTTCTCCTCCCACACCCACCGTCCATCCCCCCACCACACCAGCTCGGTTTGCTGACAAGCCTGGTGCCGGTTTTGCTCTCTCAGGGCCAGCACACCTTCCCCAGCAAGGTACGTGGTTCCCGCAGAGCTGGGCACAGCTTCCAAGCACTGCTCTCCCCAGGGATGGCCTCTGCCCATGGCCCCGGGAGGAGGTGAAGTGCCCACAGCTCCGTGCCCAGCCCCAAGGAACCACACTGGGGGTCACCAGGCAGCGGTTCCAGGCACACGCAGCTCTGCCACCCCCAGCACACACCTGACCCAGGCATTCGGGGGGCAAAGGGCTAGCTCAGGCAGGGAAGGCATGCCAGGAAAGTGTCTGCAGAAAGCCCTGGTAGACAGAGACCCAGTGGGAAGGGAAAAAAACCAGCCAAAACAGTTAAACAAATACACAGGAGGGAGCTGGCAGGCAGAGACGGCAACACGCGGAGCCAGCTTCAGGCTGAGAGTCATGTGCTAAGCCCTCAGCAGGGTTCAAGCGCTGCTAGCTCCAGAGCAACAACCAGGCTGAGGACACACACACATCACCATGACCAACCCCACCGCGTCGACAGCCAGGGACACGTCTGCTTGGCCAGCACAGAATTGCAGCAGCCAGCTCACAAATTCTCTCGAGCGCAGGCGGGAGGAGGCTGCAGATGCCTTAAAGCCCCGTACGTCTGGCCAGGCAAAGCACACTCCCTACAGACCCCCTGGGAGAGGGTTTACTGCTGCTCCCAGACTGGAATCCAAGTGGCAGCCAAGATAAAGCTGTCTAACCCCAGACTGGGAAAGGAAAGGAGGTGGGAGATACATAATGGGATGGGACAGTGTCAACGTGATACAAACATGGACAGGAGAGATTCCCCCAGACAGGTCAGTGCTCCAGGAGCAGGCAAGACAGGGAAGGGGCCACTGCTGGCAGGCCCTGGATGAGAACCACAGCGTTCCTAACACTGCCCTGTGCACCGCCGTGCGCTGGTAGCTATCCACAGTGAGGATGTGCAACAGCTGAGAGACCAGCACTGGCCGTTCCCCTGAGCTGAAGAGCAAACACAACCCCACAAACTGCCGAGCAGCTGGACCAGACCCCAGGTTGCATGTTCTTCCTTCTGTCCCCATGGCTGCAGGAGTTCCCAAAAGAGAAGAAAACACAAAAGTATTGAAAACCAAATGTATTTAAAACACACACAGTTAAGAAAATTGCATGTGATCACTGAGCCCATCCTGTCCTCCCCAAACACCTCCAGCTCAGGGCTCCTCCATTGCTGCCCCCAAAAACAGCACCATGGCTACCCCACCCTCAACAAACGGATGGGAGATGGTGTTGGGTTTAGGTGCCAGCGAAAACAGCACCATGGGTACCCCACCCTCAACAAACGGGTGGGAGATGGTGTTGGGTTTAGGTGCCAGCACTTCAGCCATAAATTCACATCTGCTGACAGCTGCACAGAGATAACACCCTGTAAGGCAGGGAAAGCCCCTTCCGTGCGGCTTCGGGATGCTGCCCCAGCAGGTAGTGCAGGAGCTCTCACTGCCCATAGAGACCACCACTGCTATTAGAAATATTTCTGTTTTATTTCAGTTCTCATCTTCCTCTGTCCCCCCCCGCCTCCCCTTGCAGAAACCAAGCACAAGGTCAGCCCATGTGGGCACCTGGGGAAATGTCAAGTATAAGGCAGAAAGGCCTGGAGCCGAGAGGCTGGCTGGTTCACCGAGAGCTGAAAGCAGTCTCAATTATCACCCAGCAGGCTGCACAGTCGCCAGAGATGGCAAAAGAGAATCCCTGAGGGTGCTTGCAATCCGAGGGGTGTGGATAAGGCAGAGAAATGCTTTTCAAATGCTCCCATTTGGTCCCTCCTGCAGATGAGCCCGTAACAACTACTGACAAACAAATAGCAAACATGCCATCTATGTGGCCAGCAATCTCTCCCTGTTGTGCTTAGCTACAAGGCAAAACAGTGAACCAAGTTGCTAAACAGACTTGGCTGGGCATTTAACTACTTAACTCTGGTCTATTTACAAGGTCTTCAGCAGCTCAGCACTCCCTTAATCCGTAAGGCACAAAGCAAGCGGGAGAATGTGCAGCTTAGTCCCTCTGGATCATGATCTCTGCAGCGTTCCTGGGAGGGCTGCAAGATAGAGGTCTCATCTCACAGGAGCGTGCGGTGGATTCGGCTGCCAGCCTCAGAACTGCTGGACAATCAGCTTCCGCTTCACATCCCGGCTGAACCTGTTCATCCTGAACACCTCGCTGTCGTAGAAGGCAGAAAGGTTGTGGATGTTGATCTGTCGAGCCTGGGAGGAAGAGGAGGGAGGGGAGCGGTAAATGTTTATTCCCAGAAAATAAGAACCATGTGCTTTTCCATAGCAGAGGCCGCATCAAATTTGCCAGTCAGCAACCTCTGCTCTGCTCAGAGCAGTAGCAGGGGAGACTGCAGGTCGGGAGACAGGAGGCGTTGGCAGAGCTGAGCTGAGAAGAAAGGATGCTGGCTCAGCATCTGCCTGCTCTCAGCTCGTCCTTTTATTTCCACTAGAACTGGAACGTAACTACCATCCAAAAGCCCCTAATACCTCACCCAGTGGGAGACAGTTTTGCAGGAGACCTCCGACTGGGGGTGGCCACACCGGCAGCACCAAGCCCTGGCTCTGGAAGTAGTTATTCTGCACTTTTGGTGCAAGGGGCAGAAAAGCAGCAACCCAGGAATCAAGCACTGCTTCAGTGCCAAGCAAGGTCAATACTTTGCACAGAATCGAGCCAGGAGCACAGCCCCTGGACCACAATGAGGATGCATTAAGGAGGGTGAGCCTCGGGAGGGACTGGGAAAGTTCATGCAGAGATTTTTCTGCTCCTTGCTTCTTCAAACACAGCTGCCAGGAAACTTGTGTTCCCACCTACCTGTGAAGTGGTACCGCAGGATTTACCACTCCAGCCCCAAAGTCTTTCTGGGGGTGCACGAGAACAGGGGGAAGAATATGGTGCTTCCATACAAGAGAGGAGCAGAGACAGATGAGACAGTCCTGATTCTGGTTTAAATTGATTAACACCAGTTTTTTTCTGGTAGCATAACTCAGGAAGGGAAGCTACAAGTCTGAGGGAACCTCTGGTTGTGAGGCTGCAGGCAGAGAGCAGGAGCCAGCTCCAGAGAAGGCTTGTGACAACAGGCCCGTACCTTATCCACCAGGTCCTTCTCTGGGACTTCTATGGTGTCTTGCTGGGCCCCGTAGCGGTTCCTCTGGTACATCACCTGCTCTGCGACCAGCTGCTTCAGGATGAACAGCAGCAGCTCATTGTTGTCTCGCTTGAATGAAAGGTAGCGGGAGAAGGTCTGGGAGGAAGGATGAGATGAGCCAAGAGGGTCAGGAACTGAGTGAGACATTGCAGGTCTCCCACGACCAACACCAACCAACCCCTTCCTCCCACGGAGCACAAGGGGGACCAGATGACACCGCTGTCACCTATGCCCTTAGTGTTTCTTAAGAAACTTTGGCCTTGCCCTGTGACAGCCACAATGCTCCTCTGCCAGCTGCTCTTACACCCATCTGAAATCTCTGGAGGGGCTTCATCACCAGCCCTGGAGCCTCCCCAGGGGCTGGCAGTGCACCCGGAGATGCGCTGCCCGCGGGGGAGGCAGCCCGGGGAGGGCTGGCACAGAGCAGCTCCCCTTCCCCCAGACTGCCCTGTGTCTCCCCAGCAGACGCTCACGCTTGGCTGGCTGTTTGCAGCCAAAATCACCAGCCACGAGTCATCCAGACTGAGGGCAGACACTTGGAGCAGATAAATGCCAGGCTGTGGCCAGCCAAGAGCAGTTGGGAGCCAGCCCCTGCCACTCAGAGAAAAGGGCAGACTGTGCGCTACACCAGTGAGAGCTGCCCTGTGCTAACTGTGCCCTGAGGAGCCCTAGAAAAAACACAAAGAAACTGCCTGCCTGCTCGGGCTCCATCACCCGGCAGCAGCAGCACGAGTCCTGTGCCAAAATAGCAGGGAAGGTGGCAAAAAAGAAGAGAGACACGGCAGTGCTTTCGATCCAGAGGGTCAGGACACACTCACTTCTCAGCCCCAACAAAAGCATCGCCCCACGACAGACCAATGAAGGGCAGCCACGCAGCGGTGCCTCCAGACCCACAGTACTCCATTGACACGGGCTCAGCGCCCGACTCTGCCAGACAGACCCCCACAGAACCCGGAGTAATCTCCTCCCGCAGCCAGGGCGGTGCAGGGAGGCTGCAGCCGAACCCAGGGGTCTGGGGGGCAGCCACAGCCGCGGGCTCAGCCCGTGCCCACCTTGCGCATGCTCCGCATGACACTGAACTTCTGCGTGTCGATGAAGCTCTCCAGCATCACCCGGATGGCCATGTTGACATCATCCTCCACCACGTAGTCCCGCAGGTGCATGCGGGCGTGAGCCTCGGCCATCCGGATCATGGACTCGATGTGACGCACCGTGATGGGGATGCTGCCAGTTGCCTAAGGGGGGAGAAGAGGAGGAAGCTCCTTAGTCAAGGATAAACCAGGTCAAGACAGGCAGCTTCTGACCCAGCATCTCCTTTGGGCTGTAGGGAGCTGCTCGCACTGCGTCAGGCTAGGGAGGCTCTGCCACCTGCTGGCACCTTCTGCGCGGAGTGGCACAGGCTCCCTTGCTCTAATTTTAATTCAGCAGTGTGAGGGGATGCTACGTGCGGTCCATCGTTTAGTACCTTTCCAGGAACAGCAATCCTCAGTTATCTGCAGCAACTTTTAGGAGGAGTTAAAGAAACAAAAAGCCAATTAAAAAAGAAAACATATACTATTCCCAAGCTCCAAAAATCTCTCTCTAACCTGAACAAATTCCTCTTCCACTTGGAGAGGATGAAACGAGCCCGAGAGATGCCACAGAGGAAAGAGAAGGGCGCTTCTACACAGAACAGCTCCCTGTAACGTACCAGGAGCATACAGGTCTGAGCAAACGCAAACACCTCCTGTGGGCCCGCCAGACTGGGTGACAATAAGAGAACTTTGCCGTGGCAGGGACTAGTACATGTGTCCAGTCTGTCAGTCCACAGACCACCAACAGGCAAGACTCAGCATTTAGATGAAGAATCATCTGTTCAGACAGCGCAGGATCTGCCTGTCTCTGACAAAACAGTGGCACAGACCTTTGTGATGGCAGTGGCCAGCACATGCCAACGTACGCTGGAGCAGTCTCAGGCTGATTCACAGTCTAGATACATTGTTCTTCCCCCCCTTCCTCAGTATTCTCACCATAGACTCCTTCCTGAGGTCAGTGTACATCCGAGCCACCTTGTCCTGGTCCATCTGGTTGAGCTTGGGGTGGACCTTCTCTTTGGCATAGATGATGTATTTCCTCAGGATCTCCTGGGGAAGGGGTTCAACCCCGTATGTGTTGGGAAGAATGACCTCGTTGGCATCACCGTTCACTGCCTCCTTGTTAGCTGGGTGGTGCTTGACGTGGCTGCCAACAACAAACCGGGCAAGCATTTCATCCTACAAGAGAGCAGAGGGCTAACAGATGCTGGAGACACTCGCTGGATAGCCCAACTCAGCGGGCAGCTGCACCCGAGCACCCCAAGCCCAGCACAAGCGCAGGTTCACAGCACAGCTCGTACCTGCACAGGGTCCACAGTGTCCCTCACCACGCACAGGATATCGAATCGAGAGATGATGGGCTCTGTCAGGTCTACGTTCTCCGAGAAAGTCAGTGATGGGTCATATCGCCCACCTGGACAATAGAGACAAACCTCAAAGTCAACCACAGGCTCCAGGGGTGAAGCTGTGAAGCAAGCATAGACCTCCTGCACAGAGAGACTTCACTGCTCGCTTGATGGGGAGAAACCAGGTGGCAGGAGAGGAGCTGCAGCACAGTTCTCATGACAGCAAGACTCATGCTGGAGGCCCGAGACGGTCCTGTGGTCTCTCAGCACCTACCTATGGGATTAGCAGCAGCAATAACGGTGCAGCGGGCTTGCAGGGATGTGACGATGCCTGCTTTGGAGATGGAAATGCTCTGCTGCTCCATGGCTTCGTGGATGCTGGTTCTGTCCTGATCATTCATCTGTGAGAGAGCAAGAGTGACTCACACTGAATCTATGTCTGTACCCATCACCCAACGACCCAGGGAACCAGCTCCTGATGCTCTGGAGGAGTAACAAATTCCACTACAGACCAGCAAGGGCCCAAGCAACCTGCAGGAGTCTCGTCAGCTGGGAGATGGCACTAACCATGAATTACGGTGTCTCCTCACCGCAGAGGTTACAGCCAATTCTTCTCCCAGAGATGAAGCTAGGTCTCACCTTGTCAAACTCATCGATCAGGCAGACGCCTCTGTCAGCCAGCACCAGGGCTCCTGCCTCCAGCGTCCACTCCTTGCTGACCGGGTGTCTCTGGACGTAGGCTGTGAGACCCACAGCAGAGGCACCCTGCCCAGTGGTGAAGATCGCTCTGCTGGACGCCTTCTCTATGTATTTAAGAAACTGCGATTTCGCAGTACCAGGGTCTCCGCACAGAAGCACGTTGATGTCACCACGGACTTTGTGTTTGCCGCCTACAACAGCAATGAGAGATGTCAGCAGCTGAGCGCCTGGCTAGAGAGCAGCCCTGCCCCGAACACTGCAGAGCCGCGGGGGAGTCAGGGTGGGCAGGGAAACCACTGGACAGGGAAGTTGAGGGAAAAAGAAAGTCAGCTGTGGAGGCGGCCTCATGGGTAAAACAGCGT